AAATTTATCCTGCCCAACAAAATAAGCAAACAAAGATACTCTCATTCTAAAGAGACTGCCTAATGCCGCATCATGATTTTGCCTATTTGAAGAAATGTCAACCAATCAAAATTAAAGCAAAACGATCACAGCCCATTTTTTCTTACAGTTTGGATTTGTTCTCAATTTTGTTCAATTTGAAACCACTAGTGACAATCTGATACTAAATAAAGCTAGCCTCAAGCTCATATTGAGTAAGAACATGAATATCCATTAGTGAAACTATTGACAGAAAATTTCAGAAAAAAATATCATCATATCATTGTGATTATCCATAGTATAATATGCGACATGGATAGTATCTTTTGACTTTTCTTTTTGGTTGAATATCATGTTTTAAATTTTTTCTATTCAATTTAATCCCAAAACTTTCGAAGTACTTCCATAAAATAAGCTATGGGATTAGGTTATGTGGATGCTAGCGCGACTAACTTGCTGTCAAATTTACATAATGGCCCATTCTCATCAGCAATCTCTCCCTTATAAGAGGCGCGAGGTCTGGGATCTAAGGCCATCTCAACCTTTTAGAGGTCGCTATGGCCTTGAGTTTACGGCGGCGCACCTTAGAGAGAGGCCGAAACATTGTGATGTTGGAGAGAGAGAGAGAGAGAGAGAGAGAGAGAGAGAGAGAGAGAGAGAGAGAAGTCGTTGTGGTGGTCAAGGTGATGCTGTGGCCACAGGTCTAGAGTAAGCGATAAGGTAGCTGCGGCGAACGACAATAGTGATGGAAGGAGATGTACTTTGAAGCCACAGATTCCCGCATCAAGAACAAAAATCGAGCCTTGATCGATTGCACTTTACAAACTTCACCCATGTAAGAGAGATAAATTGGCGATAAAGAAAGTGCTATAGATTGTATGAATTTCAACTGAACAAAGTACCAAGAACGAAGAGCGATACCCACCAGCTCTTTGGGACATGAACCGAAAAGATCGACCAGCTGAAGAAACTTATTTTGTTTTGGTCTATTACTGGGTTCGGCTTGCCAGCTGCTCAAACAAAGTTTTTGAAGACAGAAATAGATCGACCTGATACAATATTTGTGCTACTCGAACTCTACTTTCAAATAAAAGTTGGAAACTCTTCTACCCCCCGGTTGGGGTGGAAATGCAATAGCTGTTTAGCTATCTTAGAATTGGGCTGAACATTGAGCCCAAGTGACGATCCAAGCCCTGTGTTTTGGCTTGATTCCCTGCAAAATGAAGGATGTCTCGTTGTCTACTTAATTATCCTGAAGAACTTCATATAGGGAACTGATAAATTGATCAATGAAGTGGCAAAAAGTTTCAAATTTATCATATATACTCTGTATTGCAAAAGCCTTGATAATCCAAGAACGAACTCATCGTTAAGGTATTAGAGGTGGTGCTGATATATATATGACATGCATACAGCAAGAAGTTCTGTAAATGGACCTAAACCTAGTAGGAACAAGAAGCTCTCTTTCCTCGCATCTTCGCAATGTTCACACATTGATTGTCAAGCTCAAGCCAAATTCTTCACGTACCGGTTAGTGCCATCATGTATTGTTTTTTTGGGTAAATAAGTGCATGAATGCAATTTCTTATTGGCTTTATCTTCTTTTCTATTTCATAAAATGACGTGATAATTAGTTTTCATAACATGACATAGCTTGACCAAGTAAGTGATTTCACGTCTAAAGGTCGAAAGAACTCATCAGGAAATACTTTCTCCCGATATGGCCTCCCAAGAATGAACCGAGTAGCTGAACCCCCCATGTTTTTCTAGCAGCAAATTCTCAGCAATGGGTATTTTTTTCTTTCGTCTTTCCTCTCAAGTAGGTATGATTGAATGTACGTAGTTCCTATAATTGCTGCACGCCTTTTGGTTCCCGACTTCATGTTAATCCATTATATGTTTTTGGGACATTGAAAGTACGATTCTGATGGATCTCTGGCCCATGTTGTCCCCCCAATCTCTGTACAAACTCACGATAATACTCCTAGAGTGATATTGGGAAATCATCTTCACTTTCATAATTTCACTAAACAAGCTAGACCCACAAAATTGATAGCCATCAACCAAAAAAAAAAAATGACGGCACATTAATGTTGTTGTCGTCATGCTCCATCGCGAATGAAACATAACAATTCAAACTGGAACAATGTGGATGATGCCCATAGATATATTATCGTTCTTCTAACTTGATGGTCAAATCCAATTACAATTTAAAATGCGATATGACTCACTGGCGAGAAAAGTTTTACAAGTAAATAAGAGAATGACACTACATATGACTTTTTATAAGCATGGACAATTTCTTCGGCATGGTTTCTTTGTGCAAATGCATGGAAATGTGGTTGATCACTACCAGATAATATGAAATCTAATGTCAGCTTCGTTGTGATTAACTTGTATATATAATATACATATGCGCATGACTTAACTGCTCTTGCTTATGTGTACCTAAAGCGACGATTATCAGAACCAAATTAGGTTTGCATTTGGGCACTAGTTTTATATTTGTAGCCCCGCATGCGACCCTGCGCAGTTAGCATCTTAATCCAAGTTTTCTTAGTGACGATTCCGCCACACACTTGCGCTATTATATTTGCCTCAGCAAAAGTGAAGACCTTATCTCTTTCAGACCACAGCTAGGTTTTATTTTCTTTAATTAACCAAGATCCCGCAACGAAGGTTTCGTCTCATGTTAGGTAAGAACGGAACCTTGAACTATATACCCACGACCACATCGCGCAATTGTTGTAGTTTTCATACTTCGTCATCTCAAATTTATTCCAGTTTGGACGACACGAAAAGAAAAATAACTAAAGTTGGAAATTTGGAAAAAGGGCAATTTCCTTGATTATTTACTTACGTTCCTCTTCGTTGCTGAGCAGAAGTTCAGCAAAACAAAAGAATGCCCAGGGAAAATTCTTACTTTTAGGAAGTGAATCGAAGCATACACGATACTGTTTATAACGAGGACTGAAGTTGGGCTTCCTCATCATACATTCATACATACGCAACGAAGACTAGAGCTGCTGGCTTTTCATAGGGTTATCTGCCAACAAAGCGGTGGTTAAAAAAAGCCCAAACATGAAACGATGATTTCAAACCAGGGAACCTGCTTGTATGATCCTATATCGATACGAACAGTGGACATCTTAAAGGACAATAAATGGTGAAATATGTAGTAGGACATTTTGTTGGGTTAATTGATTTAGACCCCTAAAAAGAACTATTAACTAAGTAAAGAGATGGGCATCGAATGGCACAGTTATCTTGCATCAGGACGATTAGGTTAATAATAATCTATATAGGTCAGCTTACAGTGTTGGCTCACTGATCTTCACTTAGTTTTCAGTACCCATAGTAAGCACAACAATGCATACCAAATTGCATCAACTATCGAGTAATCTAAACTTTAGGGAACAATCGGTGTTTAATATGATATCACTGCATGATAATTTTTTTATTTGACTTATATATATATATAAGTATTTGAACGCTTGGCTCGATTGATCCATATGAAGGGACATACACAAACTATGCTCCAACCACTTGTATCAAATAATATACATCATATATATGTGTGTGTATTGTAACATAGGATATTTGAATGTTCGGCTCAACTGATTCTCATGAAGGTACGTACGCAAATTGTAGTGATATACAGTCGAGCGCTAATAACTATACGCATAAGTAAGAAGTAATAAGTTTCATACCATACTTACATTCTTAGAAGGCATTCTAAGATACGACCGATTCTATCACGATAATAAACATCCTTAATTATAACTAAAGAGCATGACCATAACTGAACTGGACATCACTTCTATTTTTCAGACGGAAGCATGTGCATGGAAAAGCTCAATATAGTTTCCTTTTATAGAAAAGAAACATTACAGGAAAACCTCGAGAGACATCTAACAAAGATCTTCTAAACCTATCTCCTTAATGTATGCTCAAAATGTCACCATGGAAAATTGGTATGCCTTCTACAGATCTAGACTTAGGTAGTAACTAAATAAATACGACAAGCTTTTCATCATAAAAAAATCCCAAGGAGTATAGACATCTATAGGTTAGTTTATGTATCTTCAGCTTACATTTAAAGAAAGAACTTACGCTTTCTACAAGGCAACATGCTTCTGGAAAAACAGAAATATTATATTTGCTTCGTTTGAACATTTTTCTTTAGGTAACGTTTTGCACATGACGGGTTATCAAAATCATTTGACCATCTTAGATAGTTCTAATCTTGGGCCACGGATGAGATCGAAGTGAAAGATAACCCTAGAAGTGTGGCTAGCTGCTCTGAGAAAATTAGCCACCCTAAATAGTGTAGCAGTAATTTTATGTACTGTAGATTAAATATATTATTTGTCTAGGACGCGTTGCGGATTATTAATGTGCGTAACTTCATTTTTGATGAAACTAGGTATCGTGCTTAATTTAATGTGCAAACAGAGTGACAATCATCGTGAATCCCATGTTTTTCGCAGAGATCATGAAAACAAATAGGTTGTAGAAGAACTCCACACTGAAACCCGTGCTGGTGAGGCATCGACTCAACACAGAAGCCCACTTAACAAGAAGAATCTTCAATGTACTTTGTGTAAAAACGATGCGCAAAAAACAGTTATAACCATGCTGAGAAATTCTATATTATTTTCACCTGCACATTCATAAATGTGAGAACATATATCTATGTGTTTTAAAATATACAGAGACAATCTATACATAAAGATAGAACCATGAAGAGATCATAAAAATATGTCAGCTTGATGGAGGGGAGGTCAGAAGCAAAAACCGGGTGGGATAAGCTCTTCTTTTAATGGGGGCTCATTCACTACTACATGATGATAATTAAATATGAGGATTCAAGCACAGACCATATACACAGACCATATACACCATGAAATTAATTGTTCTCTAAAGCTTCAATTGGTTCATATTCAAACCCAGTCAATCATACACAGAAGGAAGAAAAAAGGATGAGTCCCACAATGCCCAAGAAGAGAGATTCGGAAACACTACTTCCAAACCGCAAAGAGAAGATGAAAACGAAGAACGTACAAGAGAAAATTAACCCAGAAAAGAAAGGAAGAAGAAAGAGCTAAAGAGACATCAACACAGGATTAATCCGAGTTAAACACGACCATCATCACCATCACGAACCGCGCGAAATAGATTCTATGAAATTGCTGACCTTAGAGAGGGGATTAATCGTCGTCTTCTTCGTCGTCATCGCCATCCTCTTTCGTTTTCTTTTAGCTTCTCAAAATGGAGGACGAGGTGCTGAATTATTTCCTGGCCAGTTCTCCACCGGCAACTGAACAGACCCCATGTTATTGAGCGGCAAATTGAAGAAGGGAAGCCCCGACGACGGATCCGGGTACGAGTTACCCGCGGCGGCCCCACCCGCCGACTGCGGCTGCGAGGCTGGCGGCTGCATATGTAGCTGCTGCTCCTCCTCGTCCAGCGGCAACCTCTCGTAGGCGACATTGGTGAAGGAGGCGGCGATGACGATGACCGGCCCGGCCGCTGTCAGCTCCCCAACCACGCTGCCGCCGACCACCTGCCCTTGCCCGCCCGCCAGGAACACCGTGAGGCTCGTGGCCCCAGGGGGCGCCGGCGGCGGGAGGAAGGACCCTGAGAGCGACAGGATCTCGAACCGGCCGTGCAGCGTCACCACGGCCCCGGCCGCAGTCGGCTGCCGGAGGCTGACGTTGGTCACCGTACCGCTCCCGCTGAGGATGCAGACCCCCCGCTGCCGCCGCCGCGCGTACATCGCGACGCACTCGAAGACGTCGCACCCGCTGCCGACCTCGAGGATGTGCGCCCGGAGCGTGTTGGCGCTCTCCCTGGTGATGATGACCGGCGGCTTAGGCTTGTTCTTGGAACCCGGGGGCCGGCCCCGGGGTCGGCGGGCCACGATGTCGCCAGGCCCAGGGTTCCCGGCGCCCCCGAGATCGAGGCCGTGGTGGTGGGATCCGTCGTCGTGGTGGTCGCCAGAATACTGGTTGTGGTTAGGGTTATTGCCGTCGTCTCCGGAATCCCTGGAACGCTGGAGCTGGAAATTAGGAAGGAAGCGAGAAGCAGTGCCTAAATCCAGACCAGCCATCATGAGCACGCATCAAAAAGGGGAAGATGAAACAGAAAACAAGGTGGCCAAAAAAAAATATAATTGTTATTTAGAATTCTTTGCTTCTTTTTTAATGCGAAGTGAGTGAGGGAAATTAAAAACTAACACACACTGTGCGTTTGTTCTTAAAGAAAGTGGAGGTTTTCGGGGACAGTAATCATAAAGAACAAGGAGGAGAAAGGGAAAGAGAGAGAGAGAGAGATGAGGAGTGGCTCGGGAACTTGAAATCTTTGATTTGAATACACAGGCACAGAGATTATAGAAAGCTTAAAAAGCAAAACAAAAGGGAAGAGGAGAGGAAGAAGCTGGTATAAAACAGCTGCAAGAAGAAGACGGGAACCACAAGGATGGTGGTGGAGAGAGGACGGCAAATGAAGAAGATGGAGAGAGAGAGAGAGAGAGAGAGAGAGAGAGAGGGATAAACAAAGACTCAAAAAGGGTAGTCATATACTCCCCCACCACCAAATTTTAATATATGAAAGATATAAAATTCGTGCAGCTCATTTGCGCGCACACACATATATATGTGTATTATAATATATTAGTCTATACTCTCATTTCAAAGTAAATCTGTAGACATGAGACGCAAATGGAATGAGAAAAAAAGGTTTTGGAGGTTAATTATTGAAGCCATATGAGATGGGACTTTATATTTTTGGTTATTCGGTTGATGTGAACTAAATATGCACTTACCACCATGAGCTCACATTTCTTTCTTGGAAAAAAGGGTTCCCTAGAGGTTGGGTTTATCCTAGGCATGTAACACAAAAGGCATTACTAATTTAATGGACTCACAAGCTTATTAAATTTTTCCATATGATGTAGTACTAATAAAGATATAGACATCATAGTTAATTAAACTATAAAAAACCTAGATGAATGTGTGTGGACGGGGTATACATGATTGATGCGGTTTTGGAGGGATTAGACTTTTTCCGATGCGGAACTTAACCATGGTTTAAGCAAAGTTGACTAATCGGTTGGATTATGACAGAATCCTAGAAAACGGAATATCGACGGTCGATATGATAAGGAACGGAGCCAATCAAAATGTAAAGAATGCGCCCCCGATTTCAAATGAATTACACCAAAATTTCGTCGTTCTTTTAAAAATTTCGATTGGCTTGATCCAATAGAACGAGTCGAAACTAGGAGCGCTCGGAGGAGGGAGACGTGCTTCGCTTGAAATTATAAACAAACAAGGGCAAAAAGATTAGGGCAAGTGGGGGGAGATGGTGCTGCGGCGCGTGGGTCCTCCTCCCTTGTCCTCTTCCCCCACCCTGGACGGCGCTCTTCTTTCTTCCTCCACCTTTTGGCCGTCAGTGCCACCACCCACCATTACGCCAGCACCACCACCACCACCACCGTGGCTCGGAAGCGAGCTCACTGACCAATTAATGCCCCTCTCAAAAAGTGCAAAATTCAATTGGTCCTTCAAATTTTTTAAACTAATCCTTCTTTAACTCCAAGGCCTCTTTTGATTCGTAATCATGCATGTTGTTGTACAAATGTCGTTAGGGTTTTAAATTATAAAACTATGCAAAAAAAATAATGACAAGAAATGAAAGAAGAAGATATAAGTGCTCCCACAAGTGCACGAACTTGATGAAACAGAGGCGCTATACTTTTTTTTTAATGACTAATTAGTTACGTCAATGTAAACTAATCTATTCCAATCTAGGACTTGCTTGATTTATATTTGATTGCACCCATCTTTAGTTTTTTTTTTTTTGATGACCCAGGAACCCCTCGCACGGCCGACAGCCGGAGGGGTAAACCTGGGGTGACGCTAGCGCAGGACCCACCACCACGGCGCCACACTTAAGAATCCCTAACGACTACGCTGGGGTTCGAACTCTGATCCCTTCGTGGGGGGGATGAGAGCGCAAGCCAACGCAGCCGCTGCGGGCGGTGGTTGCACCCATCTTTAGTTCGTTGCTCGCAAATATAAAAAATGAGTTCAACCTTTGTTATTTTGATACCCATCTAGTGTCGGTAATTTTTTTTGCTTTTCTAAAACCTAGACCTCCTAAGGGAACTAACCACGTTGTCAAAGGGAACCATAGTACGATATCGATGTAACTTAATAAAAATAGAATTACTGTATGATTTTCGACTTTGTGATAAGATAAAGTCGCTACATGATACCCAGAAATAAACAATGGTCGATCTATATAATAATTAGTGGTGAAGTTTTTTATATTGGTCTCGAGAATCTATGACTTACTTCGATGGCCATCCATTTTCTTCCAGCAGTTGGAGATGCGAAATGGGTTCCTAGTTAGGGTGATGCCATTGCATTTTCTATGTGGGGAAGAAAGGGCAATTTTTAAATAATGGATGCCAAGATCCCATTCTAATGTCCACTTACTTATACATGGTCTACTTTAGATTAATTATGGTTACCCACTAATCAGGTCAATGGTCTTATAAGGAAGCTGGTTTTTGTTTCCTTTTGACAATACCCTCCAAGAGAGTGGATCAAAATCTCTCCGTTTGCTTTCTTTCCTGTAAAGATCTCACATCTAGCTTCTATTGGTAACATAAGTTTTTTCTTTTCCTTTTTGGTCAGGTATTGGCAACATAAATTTAAATAGTTAGGAGATATGTTAGGTCGGGACACAATTACGTTGGAAAGAATTGAATGTGTAGCCAATTATTCCAAAAGCTTAAGTCGGTGTGGCTAGAGGAGGGACGCGCATATGAAGTCCATTGAAGCAATGGAAGACTCTAAACCCTAAGTTTTATGAACTAGACAGACAGAAGAACGGTGAGACAAGATTATTAGGGATGTGGAACAAAATAGCAGGACTGTGAAGTATGATTGAGTTGATGTTTTAATATCATGTTAAAACGTGTCTATAGTTGATAACTCTAATATTAACATTATAGGTCAATCTTTTGGTACATACATCATGTCCCAATACCACAAGACACATTGTGCAAACATAATAATCAATAGCAATGCAAGAATTGCTTCTTTTTTTTTTACATTTGTGATTGGTTTAATCTAGTGAAATGACATAGACAATAGTTTACTTTACAGTATATAGAGGGCATTGATGATAGTATATGCTAAGAAACTGGCCTGGTTTTGCCTTAGTGTGTAGATTGTATTACAATTTCTCAACAATAGTTACAGTTTTGTAGGGAAAATTATCCAAAAAGTCATAAAACTATTGTACAACGGCTAATTCAATCCTAAACTTTTCAATTTAAACCTTTCATTTGTGCCAATTTAATCCTAAACTAATTATACAGCGGTCAATTCAGTCATAAACTTTTCGATTGTGTCACTTTAGTCATAAACTTTTTGACGATTTACTAATTTAGTCTTTCTGGCTAATTTTGGCGAGAAATCGCTAACGTAACGCTCTAGTCCACGCTGGTTGTATGACATGGACAATTTTTGTAATTCCCTATGCCAGCCTTCGGCGAAGGCCTTGACGCCCTTGGCTGGGCGAGGGTCCTCCTTGCCAAATCTAACGAGGGTATCCCTTGCCCAAGGCCAACAAGGGCGGCCCTCGCTAGCCCAGGCACAAGCGTCCCTCACTCGAGGCTGACAAGGGCTAGGCGAGGGGAGGCCGACGACCTCCGCTGGCCATCGATGAAGCCTGATGATGGCCGGCCAAGGCAAAAAGGGTAAAAAGAAAAAAGAAAGAGAAAATGAAAAAGAGAATAAAAGAAAAGGAAAAAAAGTTCAGAAAATTAAAAAAAATTACAAAAATTTTCCACATCAGTGTCATTTGTGATACATAGAACGGCCGATGATGATTGAATCACCATGTCAAGGATTTTCGGTAAAAAATGACCGGAATGACTAAATTAGCAAATCGTTAAAAGGTTTAGTATTAAATTACTCAATTGAAAGGTTTATGACTGAATTGGCCGCTGTACAATGGGTTTTTTTTTTTACTTTTTTGACAATTTTCCCCACTTTTTTAAGAAATCTAAAAAAAATCTTACATCTACAACCATGCGTAGCTACAACATCTTAATACTTGTCTAGGAAGCTACCCGGCCGATCCTTTGTGGTGTTGTAGCACATACATGACGACATGTTACAGAATTGCATAGCTCCATCAAAGTCGTAATTGTACAAAAATGGATTCAATGTACTCATCTGCCATTAAGATGAATACTCGGAGCCTTGCCTCACCAAGTTGGATAAGACAAAGATGCATATCTTTTTCTTGCTTAGGTGATAAAATAGAGTTGACTATGGACCTACCTAATCATCAATAAACAAAATGCTCATACAAGAAAGAGAGAGAAAGAGAGATAGATCTGAAGATAATTGAAAAACGGCCAATAGGGTAGCGACCTTTGTGTTCCTAGAAGAGACAGTTTTTAATAGGTCCGACGTAGTGAATTTCTTGGACGAGGCGATGATTGACCTCAATCAAAACCAGGATGAAAATTTGACCGATCTGGGGTCGTTCAACCTCGAATCTACCGTTTCAAAGTCCATCATTTCTTTGCTTTTAGCAAAGTACACAGCATCCACAGTGAAAAGCAGAGAAGGAAAATTCTTCATGTTCCACTTGTTGACCCGACAAATTCGTAGCCGTTGCGCAACTATTAAGATGAAAATTTGGGTCATGGACATCGAGGTCAACCTGTGATATTCTGGAGGGTTCAAACTTTTTTATCCCTTCTGGTTAGAGGGTTAGAGCTTAGATTAATCCTCTACATTTACGAGAGGACACTAAAAAAGAAAGCATCTTACGCAACGCATGTGACGAAGTAGAAGAATTAAATTTCCACAAAGGGATCGCAAGTTACATTCAAACAACAAATCACGTGCACGATATTTGAGCTCTTAATCAACTTAGATGGACTAGTGATTGTGGTGTATCCAATGTATGTGCAATAATAATGTGCTTCAACCACCCTTTACTTTGGTGATATGAAATTTTGGAACAATCCCTGCACATCCTTTCACAAACCAAATTATAAGCTCAAATATTACTTCGTGACAATCTGATTGGTGGATAAGTATGTTTAAATAGAAATCTCTTCCTTCGCCAATTGTTAGCAATTAATACATAAAACAACCCCACGTCAAATCACAAATTTAAATAGAAAAATAACTATGCTTACCTCAAGCTAAAGTTTTGATTGATTTTGATTAAGAAGTGAATCCTGCATGTACATCTAATCCTCCATGAGAAGACGTGTGTTGCTCTGATCCAAAGCGGGGGGAAGGTGTTGACTACGTAGCGACTCTCTCTTTCTCCTGCCATCAATAAAGACTTGGAGAAGAGCACGAATCACAAACGTCAAATCAAGTTCTTGGATCCACGTAAACTTGGCAAAACAACGTCAGTGGAACCCAGATAAGTATGCAACATCTAGCATCTGCATGTCGCCATCTTC